ACACACACACACACACACACACACCTGCGTATGGGCTGCGCCTGCTCCTGCTGCTCGTGCCTGAGCGCTTCGCACGGGCTGAAGTACGCGACGCCGGCACGCACGCCGCCGGACCCGGAGCTGTTCCCGCGCTACTTCCAGAACAAGCAAGGCTTGTGGCTGCACTTCGCCGAGTGGGCGCCGCCACGCGACGTGACGACGGTGCGCGGGGTGCTGTTTATCATCAGCGGCCTCGGCGAGCACACGGCGCGGTACGACTCGGTCGCGCTGAGGTTTGCGCGTGAGGGCTACCATGTCTTCTGCACGGACAACCAGGGGGCCGGCGGCAGCGAAGGGAAGCGTCTCTACGTGGAGAACTTCTACGACTTTGTTGACGACTTCCAGCTGTTCAAGAGGCGTGTGCTGTCCACGCACCCGGAGTACGCAACGCTTCCGTGCTGCCTGCTCGGACACTCGATGGGCGGCCTCATTGCGACGCACGTTGCGCTGCGTGAGCCCACCGCGTGGGCTGCTGTTGTTCTCAGCGGCCCGGCGTTGCAGATGGACCCGGCAATGGCAACGCCGTTCATGCGGTGGCTCGCGCGCACGCTCTCCAGCTGCCTACCGAAGCTCGGCGTGCAGCGGCTCGACAACAACCTCATCAGCACGAACCGCCCGGTCCTGGAATTGGCGAAGCAGGATCCATTCTACTTCTCGCCACCGCTGACGGCACGGTGGGCAGCGGAGATGCTGCGCGCCATGGACGATGTGTGGGTGAATATGGAGAATAGCGGTTTCCCATTCTTAATTGTGCATGGCGAGAAGGATCGTCTCTGCTCCATTGCTGGCTCACGCCGTTTTCTTGAGTTGGCTCTCTCGACAGATAAGAAAATGATCGAGTACGAAGGCCTCTTCCACGAGGTGTTGACGGAGGTGCGGTGGAAGGAGGTGATGAAGGATGTAATTGAATTTGTAAACGACCGCTGCCCCCCCTGAGGATGGGCTTAGAAGCCGCGGCTGCGCCACAAAAACAAAAAAAACGGCAGATGTAGGCGCAAACGATCTGCAAGTGACCATCGTTGATGGGAAACGCACCTAACGAAGAGAAGCGGAAAGATGACGTGCGAGGCTGAGCTTGCTGTGCTGTAACATCCTGTTTTGGGTGGAATCGCAGCCGTGGTGAAGGCATCTTGAACCTTCTTTCTCCCACCCTTTTTTTTTTCTCTTGTTTGTTTCTCAGGCCGCTTGTGTCTCCTGCTGCGAGGAGCAGGGAGCGGAGTGTGACGTGTGCAGAGACACGAAACATGGCAGAGCGGGGCGTGGGCGGTGTGGCGCAGCACACCACGGCCCCGCTGCTGCTGCTGCTGCTTCTGGAGAGAGCGGTGCAGTACTTCCCATCGCGGCCTCCTCTCGCGTTGCTCGCCACCTCCCCCCTGGTGCGTGCTGTGTGCGACGCTGCCAGCTTCCACGCGCCGTCGCGGCGGGCGCCGCTGTGCGTGCTCTTCACCTGCATCCGAGAGAGGGTGCGACTGCAGAAGGCGGTGTGGTGGCTGCAGCGCTACAACAGGCTCTCTCTGACGCCGTGCATGTGTCCGCGTAGGAGCAAGGCGACCGGGGTGTGCGTTCTCTGTGGAGAACAGCACGTGGAGGCCATGCGGATGCGCTGGCACATACTGCCGCATGTGGAGGAGGCTGCGGTGCGTAACAGTGGCGGTGATGCCGCGGATACCTTCGTCGGCAAGCTGCGCAAGGTGACGATGCGCTTCCGCAGGTGCCTCCCCCCGCTGCTGCTGACGGTGCGCTTGGATGGGTGCAGTGCAGTGCACATAAGCGACGTGTCTGCTGCGTTTTCCATCCTCACCAGCGAGCTGCTCTTGTTGACAGGCTGCCACGCGGTTAGCATATTTCGTTACCTTACCAGTCTCCGCCTTCTGCGGGAGGTTGACCTCTCTGCCACGCCGAAGGTGCTGTGGAACGAGATGCACATGCTGCAGGAGCTCAGGCACCTCGAGTCCCTCTGCCTGCTGCACTACGTGCCAGTAGCGGAGGTGGCGGATGCATTGCATCATCGCCGCGGGGTCGCGCACATCTCTGCAGAGGCAAGGCTCGCCAACGAGGAAAGCTGGGCGTTTTGCGACTCACTGCCGCCGCGGCTCCGCACGATTTCATTCGAGCGCAGTAGCATCACTGACTACGCCGTGAAATGCGTTGCGCGGCGGTGCCCCGACCTCCGCTGCCTCTCGCTGTCCTACTGCAGCTTTGTGTCGGACGTCAACGTGCTCGCCTCGCTGCACTCGCTGGAGACGCTGAATCTCGCGCAGAGCGGCGTCGGAGACGGCGGCGTCACCGGCCTCTTGCGCTGCTGCTCGCTGCGGTGGCTGTCGCTGTCGCACTGCGCCCCGATCGTGCAGGTAGAGTGGCTGGGGGGCCTGGAGCAACTCCGCGAGGTGGCACTGAGCGCGACGGACGTGGAGAACGGCGTCATTGCTGCGCTGGCGAACTGCGCCGCGCTGGAGGTGGTGCGCCTCGACCGCTGCAGGAGGATCAGTCACACGGCGGTATTCATGCGCTTTCCGGCGTTGAAGAAGCTGATTGTGTGGGGCTGCGTCAGGCTCGACGTCCGTCGGCTGTGCAGCATGCTGGGGGATCGCGTGTACTTCTCACGGTAGAGATGTGCGACCACGGCCCCCTTCACGGTCGTGCTT